GTCTAATTTGTTTGTCTTTTAAGTAGACTTTATAATGTGTAAACCTATTAAATAGCATAATAACCAGGTAAAACGAGATTGTGGAGGAATATTTAATAGTGGATGGTACTTAGATTTTATTAGTCAAAATATAACAAAAATAACAATTTTATGAGCCAGTAACAATGCAGTTTACCTATCTGTAGTCGTTGTTAAAACAGTGAGTTATTTATAAATAAATGCATCTGTTATTTAACGTGTGGAGGTACAAACTTTGTCTTTGACTGAACTTTTGGCAGGCGCTCTCACATAAAAGCGAACCATTAAACAATATCTATGTTTCTCCTTGAACTAACAGACAAAAATATAACAATATATATAGGGACATATAGTTTACTTATATGTATTCTTAAGTTTATAATTGGTTTTGCTTATATCTAAAGTATAATACTACAAGCGTAGGTACTTTTATATGATGAAATGTTTCTACTTAAAATATAATAAGTATCAAAATGCTAATTAATAATTATATAATATGTGTTAGGGAGCGTTCAAGTATTACGTAACGCAATTTTCGAAGATTTTTGACCCCCCCTTCCCCCGTCGTAACGCACAGTAACGTTTTTGTGTAGCCCCCCCCCTTCTCAAAACGTTACGTAACACTCAAGTGATCAATTTCATCAAAAGACTTACAATGCAATCTAGGTATTCCCCGTAAAATATCAATTTTGAGGTTTGCAAACTTGGAATAACAAATAAAAATATCGACCAGACTAATACAATCTGGTCAACAATGTAATATATATGAAAAGAGTTGCCAGTTTGGGGGTTTTTATTAATATTTTTTAGAAACAATGCTACGTAACGTTTTGTAAGAGACACCCCCTCCCGCCCCAGTAACGCATCGTAACGTTTTACGAGACCCCCCCCCCCAAAATTGCGTTACGTAATACTTGAACGCTCCCTTATATTCGTAGGTTAAAATAGACATGTTCAATAAAAAAAACTGTTTGAAATACCGAATTTAATTATTTAATGTTTTATTCAAAACTATCAATGCATTTTTTTTAAGAATATTTTCTATTTTGTTTTTAGTGATGTAAGTTCCAATAAATCCTAAGAGATGAGTTAACTATTTTGCGTAAATGACATTAAGTATGTAGGCCTTCTTATTTTATTTTTTTGCATGTAAAATGAGGTAAAACAAAAATATTAAATGCTCTTAATATTTTCTGACCAGAAATCGTTATAACGATGTAATGCTTCATAATATCTGCTACTTTTATTAAAAACTTAAATATCTTGTACAGCAATCTAAATTATTTTACATAATTAATCCGTACATCGTATAACATCATGCATATAAACAGATTCTATTGTAAATTAATTCACTCAATTAAATACTGCGCTAATCGTTGAGGAAAAAGTTCATGGGATTGTACTACGTAATAAAGGGTATGTAAGGGTGAAATTCCTATAAATTATTATATGATTGATGTGAGAACACAGCTGATATTGTTGACAAGGATTAAGAGAAATGATCCAAGAACACGTACATAGAGCAATGAACTCTCAGATGGCGCCGCTGTAGAGACATCGCGCATACCAATTGAGGGCTTCACAGATGCTATGGGAATTAACAGGACATGTAAATACACTGCGCTACACAGCCCTTGATATGTGGGAAAATTTTGATTCACCAAACTCATCTTTAACTCCATAGTCTTTAGTATTAGATTCGCATGCGGATTTATGATTATTAATAGTAATTTTTCATCACTTTAGTAATAGTTAGAATATTTGTTGGTGGATAACTTGAATGTCGTTTTAATCATTGAAATCTTCTATATATATAAAAATGGATTGCTGTTCCTTAGTCTCGCTAAAACTCGAGAACAGCTGAACGGATTTGTCTTATCTTAGTCTTGAAATGTTCGTGGAGATTCAGGGAAGGTATAAAAGCTGAAAAAAATTGATTCATTACTGGGAAAACCATAAAAACAGCCCTTTTCTATTTCCCATACAAACGTTTTTATTGACATTAGATTTGACAACTAATATGTCAATCATTCTGTCGCACTTCAAAACACCGAGATTTAGGGCTTACAGGTAAACTCCAAAAATATAAATAAAAAAAACGTAATAGATATTTCTTGATTATAGAGCGATACGAAGTTCGCCAGGTCTTCTAGTATTGGATAAAATATTTTAATCTATTATTCGTTCTTTGGTTCAAAGAAATAGAAGCATAATTAATATCAATAAGTGATGAACAAAAATATGTTCTAATTTAATGCCAAAAAGGTTCTATTTAGATTAAACATATGATGTTAAAATCAAAGTTAGTTTAAATTTGTATCACTGAACTTATTGTTAACAATTTAATGTACATAGATTAAAGGTCAAAATGTCGGTACAAGAGACGCTAAGTTCCTTTGAGAATTAACCTAACGATGTTATATCATGAAGCTGTAGAGATAAGATCATTTCTTAAATGCACATTGTTTCTGTATAATAAATCTAAGGATTTAAAACAGCACAAGATTACACAGCAGAATCCAAGCTGTCACGCTCTAAAAACATTGTGAGACTTGTTCATGTAATGTACTTTAATGATTTACATGACTTATTTACATAAAAAATCATGTATTACATAAGTAATACAATGTATTAAAGCAATTATTATATAACGTTATTTAATTTCTTTCGTCCGAAGCTAAGTCGCGCCCATACTCGCGATGATGTCACTAGTTCTAACACTTTCTTATTCAAACATTTCTATTTCTCCAATCCTACGTGATTCTTTATGAGTTTGTGTCATTTTTCTAAGTCAATTTATTTCTGCAGCGTCTAATCCCATTCACATTACCTCGACTACCGTCCTCGACACACTGAGATAAATCTAAAGATATGTAAGTATTGTTTACAGGGAGTTCCTAATTTGTATACAAATTGAACGGGCTAAAGTTTTTGCATTCAATGAGATTGTTAATACAGTAATATATAGTTAAATATATTTGCAGTTAAGTTATATAGAGGAAATAAATTTGAATGTAAATGTACTAATTGTTACAGTCGTATAGATTTAATCTATCCTTATAATGTTCTGGTAATATGTAAGGTTAAAAATAATAAAATAATGTCATTGATAGGGTTACCATTTCTAAAATTTGGAAAAGAGGACTAGACGAACAAAGACAAACCTTCCCCGGACGCTCCCCTGATGCCTTCTAAACTAGGACAAATCCGGGGAAAACCAGACGGATGATAACCCTAGCCATTAAGAATAAGAGCTAGCTTTAAATCTCAGAACTATTGTCGATTCCCTTTTTATAGCGGAAATTAAACATAAAAACCATTCATTTATTGCTCTGCAAATTTTATGAACGATATTTTATAAAGGCGGTATCTGTTTTATTTATATTTTATTTAAATGCGATGAAGTGTTCTTCCGATTAGTCAATGATAGCCTACTGGTTACAGGGCCCGCCTCTCGTGCACGAGGGCGCGGGTTCGATCCTGGAGGCACCAATGTGGTTTTCCGAGTCATATGTACTTTCTAAGTTTATTTAGACACCACTGACAGATGAAGGAAAACATCGTGAGGAAAACTGGACTAATATTTTAACAATTAGGTATAAGTTTACATTCCCAAAAGAGGGTTGATGTCAGGCAGGCGGCCGGTCGTAAAAAACAATTAGCCGAAACTATTTACAACATGTAAGGCAGACCCTGGCTAAAGCTGGGAAGTTACCAAAAGAAGAAGAAGATAAAATGTAATATTTAATTTTTAATACTTTTATATTTCGATACAGTGAGGTTGTCGAGGTGTGTTTTACGAAAATCGTATAAGTGCAAGGGCTGGTGAAGCCTTTTAAAATGTTATTTTAAAATAGCAAATTTTAATATTCATATAGAATTATATATTTATTCACTCATTTTGTATTAATGCGTATGCAAAAACTCAAAATTATTTGTCGTTGACTGTTTGTTTTTGGCTTCTTATTCTCAAATGGCTTGATCGATTTCGATGCGGTTTTTTTTGAAAGCCAGATAATTCATTCGGTGGTCCTTAATGTATATTTACTATCGGTCTAGCATTGGCGGAGGAATTTAAGCTCTTTTCAAATCAAAGCCATTTTTGGCATAGGATTGATAACAAGATGAAATCTCACGCGTGCCAGTATAATCGTTAAATGTCAATTATTACGTATAAATTAAATCATTAGATGAATATTTTAATATTGCTGAGTCATCCATATAAATTATTATCATATTTTTTACCCCTACTACTACACTTAATATCGAATTCACATTAAGACTAACTCAATAACAATTAAATTATAAAAAATAAATACAGCATTCAAATATTACTGACTCATAAGTTAGATTACTATGAAGATATTTAACTTCGAGTTCCCTTAGTAGTTAGTAGTGACTATAAATATTTTTCCCCATATTTGTGGAGTCAACAAGTCTGAATGGTTGTCGGATACAAGGAGACAAAAGACATCACCCTTTACAAACATGCCATTAGACGCTATATGTATACTTGTATGAATATTAAGGGTTAAGGGTTGAAAACAAAGCAGTCTTTTATCGTTAAAAGTATGTATATATCGGCGCTACCAGCTTTAATAACGGATGCGACTTGAAAATAATTAGAGGCTGCCATCAATTCTTTTTAAACCTCATTAGTATTTATGATTATTGTTAAAAGTAAAACGAAATCAAAGGAGAATAGAACTATGTTTGAATCTTGTTATAAATATGACGTCTGGATGCACGACGGCAGAATTGAGACTCCAGAATTGAGAATTCAGAGTTCAGTAAGTGCGTATCATTGAAGTATGTTATTATGAAGAAACTTCTAGAAATACAGGAACATTAAGAACAATTGCAGTTTCATTTTAAAATATCATGCAACGCTCTAGAAGAAGTGACATATGTGACGTCAGCGAGGCTGGCGGCCCTCTCTTTAAATACAAGAAATGTGTAATAAATCTTTTTTTTTTTTTTTTTTGGTGTCGGGTTGGAAAATCCTCATGGAGCCCCACCGCCCTCGGGGAAGGACGGAGGGGACTGTCAGACTCCTACTGACTAAAAACCAACCCGTGTGCCTCATCTGCCCGTGTGCCGGAGAGGTGGGTATCGCCGAAGCATTCATCGCTACCTCCCCGACAGGCATTGACCCGCCAGATGGTCAGGCGGGCCCCGTCACCCGGTCATGAAACCTTAACTATGAGGCGCGCGCGGATTACACGCCTCCCCTCGAAGCCTGTAGCTGTTATCGGACGACAGATGCCCCGAATCTGTCGTCCACAGGCCGCGCTCTACGGTGGCCGGAAATCGGTCACCCTACGGCGCGCAGTGCGTCTAGTGCGGGAGGGGAGAAAGGAGGCAACCTCTCTTTCCCTTTCCGCTACCTCCTTTGCGCGCATCACTGCCTCGCAGAAGGTGGCGACGGCACACCACCCTGACTCGCTCCCCACCATAACTTGCACAACTGTCGGGAGAGAGAGGTTACCCGCTACACCTACAGCTGCGACCAAATCACGGCGCTGCTCGGCCCAAGCTGAGCATTCCGCCAACGTATGCAGTGACGTATCGTTGGGACAGTCACCACAATGTCGGCACTGGGACGTCTGATCCCGACCTATGCGGCACAGGTACTTCCCGAAATAACCGTGTCCGGTAAGTACCTGTGTTAGCCGGAAGCTGAGGGCGCCGTGACTCCTACTCAGCCACTCCTGTAGAACAGGTCTTACCGCTGCTATAACAGCGTGCCCCGCCGTGGGTTGCGCTAAGCGCGTGTGCCACTCCGCCATTAGGACCTGGCGGAGCTCCGCCCTCCGTGCTCTTATGAGTTGAGGCATCAGGCGTTCGCCTCTCTCGACCGCCTCCGCGCGCCACCGATAAAGCGTTGCGAGGAGTTTTGCCTCTAGGTCCCAGGGGGGGGATCCGGCTAGGAGACTCGCTGCCTCAAAGGAATGTGTAATAAATCTGATATATAGTTAATGGCACATATTATATGTCTAGTACTGTTTTGTTTATTTCTATATTGTCCAGCATCCTAACCGGACTATTGTAAATCAAGATGTCCGATCACTATAATTTACCTAGCAAGATTTATTTAGCAATTCAAATATATAATGCTGATATTTCATGTATGTATTATATAAGTATTTATAATTTTATCTAATAAGAAGCATATAATTAACAAATATGTACTTCGAAAACGATGTTTTTTTATTATTATTATAGAAACAAAACTCTTTACACCATTGGCAGAATGTTGTCAGATTTTATTGTCATTAGTTAAAAAAAGATATTTTTTCTTATATATTTTAAATTTGGAACTATCAATTTTTTTCATTATTTAGCAAAATGTTACAAAAATAGAAATGGAAACCAAATAGTCGTATCACTTGTCTTCATACAACATAGATCTATTAAACTATAATCATGCGGGAACTACATTTAATTACGGAATTAACTATCCCACATAGAATTCTAATACCGAACGCTGCGTTACATGAAAGCTTAATCAAAATCTGTTTAATATATACGTGATATAATTCAAGTTTCTTTTCCTATAACTATTCTAAGTATACTGTTTATATTTGGGCCTTAGTGTAACAAATGTTCGAATAATTTATCACACACCAAACATTCCCTACAAAGGGGTCACCTATCATTGTTTACTTGATGCATTTCCTGCCATTTATCTAAATTCCCCTTCAAACAGACTTTATTCGATCAATAAAAAACAACTAAGTTATTTTAATGTATATATAATGTCATTTATTTAAAAGGTATCTTTTGACTTTTGAAAATACAAGATAATCCCTACTAATATTATAAATGCGAAAGTAACTCTGTCTGTCTGTCACGCCTAAACAACTGAACTGATTTTAATTAAATTTGGTACAGACATAGAGTTGACCTTGAGAAAGAACATAGGATAGTTTCTATCCCAGACTTTTGAAAGGTTCTCTTGGAAACGCGATATAACCGAAATCCACGCGGGCGAAGCTGCGGGCGGAAAGCTAGTATTACATATTTATTAAATAATAACATAAATATGACAAGACCTTGCAATCAAGTGTGAACTGATTACATAATATATGTACGTGTGTGTTACATTACAAAAGACGGGAACATTGAAACCAACTATTGTTAGTTAACTAGCGACGCCATTTGTAATACAAATATATTATATATAAAATTTAAATTAATATTTTACTATTATTATTAACATTTGTATGAATAATTCTTTATCTTATACAATAAAATATTTATGGTTTTTTAACAAATCTTCACATAATATGTGTATATTATAAAAATAATTCATAAAAAGGTTATAACATAGGTTTAAAAAATATCGGAAATACAGTATAAAAATAATATTATATTTACATTTCTATAGTAACATGAGTGTGTTTAGTTAAATAATATATAATATTGTTGCTATTTATTCTATTTCAATATCGTCACGACAAGATTTTCCCGCTACTTTAAGTGACATTACCTCAAATCATATTAAGCATAGCGAGAATTCATTGTGTTATTGTAAGTTATAACTTTTTAAATATTCATTATTTAATCGATAAATTATAATATGAACAAAATACAGACTACAGCATATATTTCAACGTTGAAAGTTTAAAAGATTTATTAAGAATAATGGCCGCCATTTCATATTCTGTCAATTAAAACAGTTCGTATTTTTAAATTATTTTTTACTTAGTGTAATATTTTTGTTAATATTAATTGCTTCCTCTTGCGTCATGGTCTAGACTTGAAATAATTATTTAACCTGTTCAATTTCCGATTTATAAACTCCTTAATTTTATCACTGGCAACCCTTATTATGATATATTTTATTGAAAATTTAAACTTGGAGCATAGAGTATAAATATTTTCTAGTGTAGTGACCATAGACTTCATTCATTCATAGTTGATGAAAGCTATGAAATCTATTTTTAAAGTATTTCAGTGCATATTTAGCTTGTAGAGGAAATTGACGTTAACAAATTCTCCGTGTGCTATGAATTGTTCTGCACCAGACCCTATAATTGCCGTATTTTATTACTTTACATAAAAAAATTCAAAGAAATGTTAAAATTTAAAAATATAATTAAAATTTTAATATAAAAGAATTTTATAATTCTTATTTATGTTCTAAATATCTTAATTAATTTTATTATTTATTCAATTTCCTGTTTACATCCATACTGCCAATAAGAATTTATTTAATCTGTGCCAATTAAATATTATTTTAAATATAAATATATATTTCCAGAAAGACCTGCAAGTCATGTGGTTGTGATCGTCTGCAGCACTCCGTGTATCACGAGGAGTTAGTCTCTGTACGAGACCGACTCGGTCTGAGGAACAATAGGTCTAACTCATACGATAACAGTCTGCCCGGACTTACTGCGAAACAGGTGGGAAAATATAATATATATAGGTATATATAAACGAAAGTCGTGTTAGTTACTCCACTTATAACTCAGGAACGGCTGAACCGATTTAGCTGAAAATTGGCAGGGAGGTAGTTTAGAGCCAGGAAAAGGACATAGGATACTTTTTATCTAACTTGTATACTATATATCGATGGGTAATATGTATAAGGACCAATGTGTCAATTTAGCCATTTTGACTTTATTGCTTTCCATTACAAAAATGTGTATTTGTTGGTGGAATGACTTAGTTTTTATTGCAGTAAAAAAGCATAAGTAACACACTTTTTAACGTATAAGGGCTTATGTAATGTATATTATACAGGGTGACTGGTGAATTACTATCAATATTTAAGGAGAATACTCGGTACATGATTCTCATTCGAATTATGTAAAAAAAATAGGCACTTAATTTTTGACAAAATTTCCGTATAAATAAGTAAAGTGTTGACACGTTCCAAGTGTTCAAAGTGTGGACGCGTGCGGCGGCGTGCTGATACAAAACCACGCCCCCGCCGCGTATGTGTGAGTGTGTGTGTATACCTAATCTGTAGGGTGTTCACACGATGCGTAATTAATTACATAACTTTTGGTTAACTTTACTTACAAGTTTATTAATATTTATGTTATATTAATTTTTATTTTGTCATATATGATCGTCAAATATCACGTCCTCAAATATCGATAGTAATTCACCAGTCACCCTGTATATATATATATATATATATATATATATATATATATATATATATATATATATATATATATATATATATAAAACTACTAGGTTTTAAAAAAGTTTATCAAGCATAAATATGTATACATAATACGTACATGTATGTCATAGTTGCTACGCAAAGTTAAAACGCCTCTACGGAAAAATTGTTATTTTGCACATTGGGCCTTATACATAGGAGCCAATAACGACTCGACTTTTTTCTTTAGTTTCGACTTGACTTTACCTGTTAGTTTGTTTCCTTCAATACGTACAAATCTTTCGCCTTATTTACTCGATAAAAGAACAATGCCCGTTATTTGATGTAAACGTCTAAACTGTCAACGTATTAAATGTTTACGTTTTGTTGTTTTTCCAGTTGAAGTCTAGACAGTGCTATGATTCTGACTTTCAGCGAACGTGTTTACTGAACGAAACAATGTTGAATAATCTTTATTTAGATTCGGATTTTCACATTTGATATTACTATCAGTTTCATTAAATTACTTATATGATAAAAATAGGGTTTATATAAGGTTTTATGGTTTAATTTACTTGAGTGTTTTTCCTAGACGGAGTTATATTTTTCGTCGCTAGCTGACCGCACCCCGACGCTAGGTGGCGCTACCGGTCAAGCGGCGTGGCGCGCGTGGCGGACTCGGGCCCTCGCGGTACAACTGCCGCAACAGGATCTATCGCTGGCGCACTGCAAACATATTGATGACGCTCACCGCAAGCATTATGAGGACTTCGTCGCCGCTAGGAACGAAATCGCCTTGGATATTGGTATGAGCGACATCTAGTGACCAGTAGCAAAGGTTTAAGGCAAAGATTTGCCATTTGTACACATTTGTAAACTATTTACCACCTATACTTCAAGAATATTCTACGCTAATGCAAATATTGTCGTTTCCATTTTCAAATACCATTGTTTTTTACTGTTACAATCAACTTTCTATAAAATATTTTATATATTTGAACAAAATTACATATGACATTTAAAATTAAAATGTTAATATGTTACTTTTGCAGGAGTTGCTCTTCAGCACTTCGGCCAACCGATGGACTGTATGGGATGCAACAAGTCGATACGTAACGGAGGGATGGCGGTACAGGCCCCAAAGATCGGTGAAGAGGTAAGCTGAAACAGCGACATCTATCGTATTTCGAGCAATACTTACATCACCACTACTATTTTCATTAATTCCACTACTTGACAATAGACGGCACTGTAATAATATTTTGTTTCCAGGCGTACTTCCACCCAGGTTGCTTCACGTGTTCTGAGTGTGATGAACTTCTGGTAGAATTGGCTTACTGTACTCTTGACGGAAGACTGTACTGCGTCAGGCATTACTCGGAGCAATTGAAGCCACGGTGCCATTCGTGTGATGAGGTATGCACATGTTATAAATATGTACTACTATACTACTATATGGTGTATACAGGGTGACTGGTGAATTACTATCGATATTTGAGGACGTGACATTTGACGATCGTATATGACAAAATAAAAATTAATATAACATAAATATTAATAAACTTCTAAGTAAAGTTAACCAAAAGTTATGTAATTAATTACGCATCGTGTGAACACCCTACAGATTAGGTATACACTGACACTCACACATACGCGTGTCGTGACGTAGTGTTGTATCAGCACGCCGCCGCACGCGTCCACACTTGAACACTTGGAACGTGTCAACACTTTATTTATTTATACGGAAATTTTGTCAAAAATTAAGTGCCTATTTTTTTTACATAATTCAAATGAGAATCATGTACCGAGTATGCTCCTTAAATATTGATAGTAATTCACCAGTCACCCTGTATATATTACTACTCCTTGTAAACAATATTTCCCGCTCAATGTTCCTTGTTAACATTGAGTTATTGCTGGTAATAAAGTATCTTAACTCAATATGAAACAGAACTCTTTCTCAAGCCGGTATGTTACTTCGGGTTCTAATAGACAATATGTATGGAAATAAAAAAAAATAAACGGAAGCCCATACAAAAATATAGAGACCAAAATAAACAATCGAAATATAATTGATTACTATATCAACAGATTATAAATACACTTTGAATCATATTGTCATGTGTTTGATGAACACTTCTCACCTACCCCAATGTCAGTCGATTGATTTACCGCCAATAGTTCGAGGAAGATGACTCGCTCGGTGACTTAATACAGATACCTTTTACGTCTATGTATAATTATTCTACTCGTAACTAATAGAAACATAATTTCTTAGAAATACAGAGGCTTATTATTTAGCTTTTCCAGTTAAAAAAATACGAAATGCTTTTTTATGCATAAATTTTAAGTGACAACTTCAAATTAAGTGACAATTTTTTTATTATAGTTGCTAGAACATCCATTACTATGGCAACACTGTAATTAGTAGTATAATAAAGTATGAATCATAATTATTAATAGATACAATCTCGTAGAAGCTTCCAAACTATTAATATACAATTATATAATAATCATGAGTAACTAGCATGTATTTACTTTCAAGTTCTCTATATGTACTTATTATGTCATCAGCCTATAAGAGCCCACTGCAGAACAAAGGCCTCTTTCTCACATGGAGAAGGTTTGAGCAGTAATCACCACGCTTGCTCAAGACGGGTTGGTGATTTCAAACTTATAATTTGAAATTATAAGTCCAGGTTTCCTCACGATGTTTTCCTTCACCGTATGTCATTATTGTCTAAATACTCTCAGAAAGTACATATGACTCGGAAAATCACATTGGTACTTGCCAGGATCGAACCAACACCCTTGTGCATGAGAGACGGGCTTTTAACCACTAGGACACCACTGACTTTATACTTATTATATTCATACAATTTATTTATCACAGAGAAAATTGAACCGAATTTTAGACCATTCGTTTTAGTAAATGGACAGTGTAATTTCTAATTTTTCTAATATGTAAGCTGTATTATGGAATAAAGACGAAAAACAATGGACAATATTTTGCGGGTAGTTTGATATTCCTATAGAATTTTCTTATAGTTCACAGTTTATTTGTAAGTATTCGTTTATAAGTGGCATCTTATTTTGGTATCGGTGCCACAAACACTAACCCGGATACATTAGCCTGGATCTTTACGAGATGCAATTGTCGGATCTATATCTGAGATGCAAATTGCAACTGCAATTATCATTATAACAATTGCAATTATGTATATATTAGAATGACCACTGCTAAGAAACTATTATTGACTATTTTCGAGGTATACTAAATATTATGAGATCTAAGACTTTCGCGAGTATTCATTTAAATGAAACTAATATTTTCGGATTTGCTCCGCCATTTTTATTTTGATTATAAACTACATACTCCCAACATTTCGGTTACTTTACAGCAACCGTGATCACGGGCAGATGAGATGTCTGAATTAAATACTACATTTTGTTTAACCATACATATATATAAATAAAAAAATTATTAAGAATATAAATTAGCTCGTATCATTTCCTGAATAATCTTTCGATCAATAAGTATGAGGAATCAATACTCAGTACATCCAAGCTACATCAATATGTCAACAGCTTGTGTTGTTGTAACGACAGATGTGATCTAAGGTTGACGACTTGTGATAAGGAAATAATGATGAACAATTACATATCAAAAACAAATGACAATCGAGAACATTTGATGATCACTATTTAAGGTTGATGTAAAATGATCACGTGATCACGGGCAGAAAATATGTGATCATGTTCTGCTAAGTAACCGAAACGTCGGGAGTAACTTGTAAAAGTTTGGTAAATCAGAAAGATATTTGTTTTAGTGCAATATATGCAATATTTTAAGAATGTGTCCTTTGAAGTATTAAGTAGATTATGATATTTTAGATCTTGATAGTTTATACATTTACTTCAACGTTTGGTAAATATCGGTCCAGCCGTTTAAGTGTATCAGTTCTTTTCCAAAATCATATAATTTTTAAAGAGCGCCAGTGTAATTGTTAAGTAAACATTATTGTGTAGGGGTTGTACATAAGGGTGTTGCTATCCTAAAAATTGTCGTTAGAAGTAAATAATTTGTTTTATTAATATCAAATAATGACTTACACACACCCGGTGTAAAATGTCATCGCATTCAGTTCCATAGTTTTTCCTTAATAAACAAACATACATTTTCATCTATAAAAAATGGTTTTTGCTATCAAATTATTCCAAAAAATTATAAGTATCATGAAAAGTATGTGACTATTAAAATATTTAAATTTTAATTAATCTACTTATATGCGATAGTTTGATATAAAAAATCATAATTTTCATTGATATTAAAACAATCTTTTATCGATTTCGGAAGTTCATACATAATATTTAATAAATTTCTTTATCGCTATCAAAAACCAAGTGTAACAAGTACAAAACACCTTTTACATTTATATCAATGACACCTTTGAGAATAATTATTAAAACTAATTATTCCCAATTAACTTCATACTAATAGGGTAATTCATATCAAAATGACTTAATTATTTTATAATCACTTAATAAATATGTACTATTATTTTCATTATTTTGCAAATTATTTCTTTTATATAAAGAAGTCTCGAAAAACTTCTCATTTTGGTTATAATATAAAATATACTATTACATATTTTATTCTATAGCTTCACCAAAAAATTATGCAAAATTTAAATAAATAACTATTTAAATTTTCATTACTGTTTTAAACTATTTTTTTTCCATGACTTTGTCTGATTATTAATTTTATATTTCACATTAATAGTGAATCGGTTTGTGAGTTCGGGTATTTTTTTAATTAATATCAAATGTAAATTATAAAAATAACATTTTTTTTATATATACGAGTTATATTCCTTAATGGAAATAAGAAAGACGGATTTTTTCATCACACAATTAATTAAATTACTATAGTTTTGAAGTAAAAACGATAAAGGCAGACATTCACATCTCGTCTGCCCGTGATCATGGTTGCTGAAAGTAACCCAAACTTCGAAAGTATGTAGTTTAAAATAATAAAATACGCGTCGTACATATGATCCGAAAATATTAGTTTAATTTAAATGAATACGATGACTTTTTACGTCTTAGCAAAATATAATATAAGAATAGATATAAGACAAATAAGGTTTAATTAAACGTCTTTTGTAAACAATGCTAGTAATTTTAGCTTAAACATGTACCATTTGTAAAAGTTATCGATGGAATTATCCATGAATATTATACGTTTAACAAATATTTTTACAAATGAAATAAAATATCCAAGCTTAAAAATATTCTTGTTCTACATTATGTGTTCACCGCAAATCAATGCCCATACGTTCTCATCTTACAACTTGTTTTATAATAAATAAAACATGCAACTAATATTTTATCTAATATGTGTTAATACTCGCAAATTTTCCGCCTGTAAACACTTAGCCCGGCTTTGTTTACCTCAAATATAGGGAAATGAAAATAATGTTAAACAGAACAGCACTGTACCGAATTATTCACACCTTAGTTAGTGAGTAGACATTGCTACATTTAAACGTTTTTTCTGTTACCCGCCATTTTTGAATAGTACTTTTTTTGTGTCATTTATAACAAGGCAACGATCATCCGTATACAGCCAGGTAATTTATTGTTTTAATATGTATCGATAAATCATCAATTTATTCGTCTGAAGTGGTGTTCTACTTTGTTGTATCTCGTCCGAATTAGGCCGATTGAGTTTAGACATACGATTTGTGTTTACCCTAAAATAAAGCACTCGGCGAAACGAGGTTTGTGTATGAAGCATTCAGTTAAATATTGTATTCATGATTGATGTTTTATTTAATAGGTTTTATGTGTATTGATTGTGATTTTGTTATTTACAATGTTACAAAAATAATTTCACCGACATTGCGGAAAAGACATCTGATTTCAATCAAGCGCAGATTCGTCGATCGATCCTCTAAATAGCGATCGATTTCTTTGAAGTGTCGCCGCCCGAGCATGTTTATAGATTCTTGTTCGATGTAATATATATAATTGACGCACACACGCGACAACACTTCTTAACCATACCGCGTTCGCCAACTGTGAACTCAAACCTCCTTCGACATCTACCGAGGACGTATCACTTCCAGCATTGGTTCCAACTTTTTATGATAATTTAAAAAGTTGTTGTGTACTAAGTGCTATTCGAAATTTAAAATTTCGCGCGAACTTTAATGTGTTTTATGTGCGTTCGGAAACTGACGGGAAGATATTAACTGTGAGTGATGTTAAGAAGCATGACATAACTATTTTAAAGATTTTATAAGATTTAAAAATATTTTAAAAACTTTTTAATATCCTGTCCCATCTTAACAATACATACATACACTTTTTAAATTTCTTCTATATCTGATTAAAAAAATATTTTTGTTATTACCTAAAAATTACGTAAAATACAAACTAATTAAACGGAAATTAAACTGGCATAAGTATGTAATAATGGTGTCATCAGTATTAATGATCTTACATAATGTTACTGTCATTATAGAATTAACTTTTGCATTCGTTATGCCACTCGACAATAGATGGCAGCACTACATATGTTTGCACTACGTATCAATGGAACAAAACTTCTCTATTCACACTCGCTTATAACTAATTCTATATCTATAATTAGTCATTTGAATCACGTCATGTTCAATGATAGGCTGCTATAATTATAAATGTAATGGCTATATTTAGTATCGTTAACTATTATTTGTAGACTTCAGAACATTTCTATTAGAAATACATTAATGGATATTTGAATAAAACTATACAATATTTAATCTTCTTCTACCTGGCAATTTCTCAGCTTTAGCCAGGGTCTGCCTTACATGTTGTGAATAGTTTTGGCTAATTGTTTTTACATCAACCCTCTTTGGGAATGCATTAATCAGTGATATCTAAATACTCTCAGAAAGTAAATATGACTTGGAAAAATCGCATTGGTGCTTGCCAGGATCGAACCCGCGGCATCATGCATGAGAGGCGGGCCTTTTAACCACTAGGCCACCACTGACTCTTACAATACAATATTTAATATTGTTTCCATAAATACATACACATATTAACAGTCTTAATTATCTTTTAATTAGTACATTTTCAATGTCACATACGCCTAATAGCGTCTACTCACTGTCAATACAACCCCGAACTTATGACTTTGGCGAGGTCTATTGCATTTCAATCAATCGTCGAATCTATATTACTTCACGGTCAACAAACTAACTGAGACATTGTTATTATATACACAAATAAGTCGATCTGAAGCCCTTATATATTTAATTTAAGAGAAAATTAACAAAACCGTATTTTTAATATTAATAATTGGGACTTATTACCTTATAAAATCGGTTTAATTTTTACTATGAAATTAACTTTTTAATAAGTAAGGAATGTGTGTTATTATCTTTGAACTGTATAGAACAGCTGGTTGAAAATTTAGTTCATTGTGATATGTACATACGTAATTATTATGAGCGCACCCGCATCCCGTCTGATTTAAAGGTAGAAATGCCAAATATTCAACAAATATTATAATTACTTAATGCTAATGTATTAAAAGAGGAAGATTTTGTAATTCGTACTACTAATGAAATATCAATTTTTATGACTTATAGTACATATTTATTATTTCAATATAATAATTTACTAAGTAACTACAGTCTGTAATAATTGGGACATAAAACATAAATATAGTTTTAGTGGTTATACTATAATAATTTCTATTAATCCTCTCGAAACTAAAACCGATTCTGTTCTTCATTAAGAAAGTATGTATAGAATATATACTTATATTTACGTAATAATCTTTTAGTTAATTCCTTAATCTCATTTGGCTATATAGACTCAATACTCAAAATTGGCTTAAATTAATCCATCTAGTAATCTAGTTTAAACTATGGTTCATTATTATAGTATGTTCGTCTCCTTATAGTTTCCTATCTAGTAATCTAGTTCAAACTATGGTCCATTATTATTGTATATCCGTCTCCTTATCGTCTTCTATCTAGTAATCTAGTTCAAACTATGGTTCGTTATTAGTATTGTATGTTCATCTCCTTATGGTCCTCTATCTAGCCAACTAGTTCAATCTATATTTCGTTATTATTACTGTATATTCCTCTCCTTAGTTTCCGATCTAGTAATCTAGTTCAAACTATGGTTCATTTTTATAGTATGTTCGTCTCCTTATCGTCTTCTATCTAGTAATCTAGTTCAAACTATGGTTCATTATTATTGTTGTATGTTCGTCTCCTTATGGTGTAACACCGTCCACTGCGCACGGCCCGAGCGCGTCACTCATCTCATGTTTCACTCCGCCCAACTTTCACTGAAAGGCAAGGTCGCAGTATTAGCATGCACGCGGCACTTACGTTTACCTTACACGTAAACGTAACTACTTTACGTGTGACGTCACTGGACATAATTTTCGTCAGATATATTAAAATTGTATATTGTCTTATTTGGAATGTATGACTTAGTTATAACTCTATAGAATTAAATATAATAGCTTCTTCATACATAAATATCTGTACGTACTATTTTGGGCCTATTATCTACGTCATAGTGACGTCATTTCTTTTAATAGAACGGCCACAATGTGACCATATATGTAATATATGTTAATAGTATTATTTTATAATCATTTGTAAAGAATTTTCTCTAATATTCTATTACATTCTGTTACTAGGCGTGACTTCTCAGAATGTGTATCAATACATTGAATCACTTTACGGTCTTCAAAATTAAAACACGCCACCTCCACATTTATTTTTGAGCCAAAATTTTTCCTCTTTTCGCTTCTGAGTTCGATGACTCAAAAATTTTACGTGAGATCCTGATATAACTATTTTCAGTGTATGCCAAGAATTTTTATCGCAATTTTTCTATGTGTTCTTATGAATCGATTGTAGAATGTTTAACAAAAATCACTTATTAAGTATCAATGAAATTATAATAATAGTCTTTTTACATATTTTAAATGGACTTAAATTAAAACTTAATTTAATTTTTAATCACGCCTTTCACGTAAAAATTCCATTTACACATTTTAATAATTATTATTGAACGGGTTAAACTACGCCTTTTATGCTAAATATTTTCTAGAATAGTATTTTAGCAGTTATTTCGTAACTTTTGGCCGAATCATTTATTCGCAGCTATAAATCGTTTCGCGGTTTCATTAAGCACAATAAACACTATGATTTGCTGTTAGACATCTATAAAACCTACAAATGATCTTGTTCTCCTTGATACATAAATTAGTAGTCGTTAAACTATTTTCAGTAAAATTTTACACATTTTATTAGAGAAATCATAAAAATTACATTAAGGAAAGTATAGCAATTATGAGTCAAGTACATAGTTTGAGAGTATTATTTTATTGTTTTAACTATAAACCAAATCCAGCCTTGTAACGCGACATCAAACGACATAAACGTAATCATATCTGGCCACAAAGCCAAACTGATTCTAAATGTGGACACAATGTTTGGCAAGTATTGCATTTTTATTTCAGTTGTTCATATCTTGTCCCGGTGTTAGATCGCTGCATCCTAACCTCACCCTCATCAATCTCCTGCCTCCCCGTCAGAAAAAGTGACGCTGAAGGATGGGTATAATGTTATCAGTTCTGATATCGTACGTCGGTATTCACGAAGCCATAGAGTGTCTGAAGCACATTATCAGTGGACTAATACCGGATACGGAACCCGATTTTAATGATCTCGTCGAATATTATACGCATCTGCTACGGAAAACAGCAAATTCTCCCAAAACAAGGGATTGGACCACGGAGTCCGGTCAAGGTTATCTATACTTAAATGAAGATAAGGATGGCAAAATCAAGTCCGCCTCTATTAAGTTTTATAACACTCCTTCAAATTCAACCGCGCTATTGTTTTCCACCAAAATATCCAGCTTCGGTCAAGACTCCGTAGAAGAAAACTCTCAAGCGAATGGAGACTATAGAGCAGAGAAGTATCCAGCGACAAAGACGAAAACGATCATCTCAAACACATCAGAATCTTTTAGTGTTGGAAATAAAACTCGCCCAGCTGCCGATAGTACTTCAAGTCCTAGTTCATTTGACAACAGCGCACGTAGTATGAATAATGACGCCCAACTGAAACTCACTTGGGAGTATACACCAAAAACCCCCCCTTCCACGCCAGTGCCCGAAATACACTTCCAGCCTTACGGTGGTGATAATAATGGAGATATAGGTTACAGCGAAGAATTCTTAAGGTTAATATTGATTATCGTACATCACTGCACGTTAGTACAAGCCCATAAATCACGTTCACCAGTGAGCAGTAACATCCAAAACACTCATAATTTTGCACCTTGTTTACAAAATACCTAGAGCAAGTATTTATAGTTCATGTAGAACATAAATAACACGTGAACCCATTATTCATTGCGACAATAATGCATATAAAGTATTAAAATATATTTGTTTAAGATCTCTTGATGGGATTAAGTTTCGTCCTTTACAAAGAAATGATCCGAGTGGCCGCAGACGGTCGTTCAGAAGACGTACATCTTCTTCGTCGAATTCCTCAAAGGAGTCGCGAGCCTCGCGCGAGGAAGAACTCCGAATGTTTACTTCATTAGAGGAGGACGAATTTAAAAACCTTAATAAAGACGCGAATGACGGTAAATTCGGAAGTGCTCCTAACTTAGCAGCACGTTCTTATTCCAGAAGTCGATCGAGAGAGAAATCTAAAGAAAGAAGAACCGAAAGTCCTATTCCGGAGGACACCGACCGTAACACGTCCGACACAAAGCTTCCCCACTCTCTCAAGGATGTGCCCAAATTGAGCACGTTTGAAGAAAAAGACGAAACAAATGATAGCGAGGTAGATTTCTGGGCTAACCAGGAAGATTAGTGGCGCTTACTTATCGAAGCACGATCGCACCACTGCTTTCAACGAGCATGACTGATACAAATTAAATTGTTATATATATCCTATTTTGTTTGTTTTTCTGTCCCCTCATACATTTACATTCCTTTTAGACGGAACATAGACCCACCTAAGCTTTTGAATGGCTTATTTAGTGATGTAATTTTCTTGTATTTAGTAGTTTTTTTCTGCTTAAAGTAAATAGCGATATGTAATGCTAAAGATGAGCATTATTTGATACGATTGCATATTTAATTTATTTGTTATAAGTCAAAGAATCTGTAACAGTTGCACAATATACTAAAATATACGTGCTCTGAATAAACCTCGACCTACTTGCTTTTAATATGACGCGACGCGACCTTCGTATGTCACCACTACTCATGGTATTGTAGGATGCTATAACAGTTATTTTAATTATAGACTTCTTAAGTTTTATATCTTTTTGGGTATGATCCATCATACATATAATATTCTCGTTCCAATAGAATTTTTTTTCGTCAGTTTTCACATTAGTCCTGTTTAATGTTATTGAATTCTATTTGAATCATTACAAGAGATTCACGTAGAGGTGAAAATATTTTTCAGTTCTTCTGTGACAGTTTGTCTCATTTTCTAAAGAGCTGGTTTGCTTTTGAAATTAATTAATTGAATAAAAAAACAATATGTTCAGTCATTCTTATTTTTTTAGCTTAACTCTTCTTGTATTTAAGCAATTTGGTGTTTATGGAGATTAAATAAATTTGCCAATAAATCAATTCAATATTTTAGCAAAAAATCAAATAATGTTTATCCCACAAACAAGAAGTATTGTTTGAGTTAAAATAAATATTATTATCAACTGCGTTTCCGTTAATAAATGAATGATGAAGTCATTTACGATGTTTAAGATAGTTAACTGGAACATTTGTCTTTAAATGTGGTTACATAGATCCAAAGATAGAGTTACAGCCTCGCCGGCGGTTACACTGACAATAATATGTTTAAAGACGTCGGTTACATACAATCTATACGTAAATACGTTAAATTTACGACGAACAACCGCCAACTGATTTTAATCATGATATTTGACGGCTTATTTTATATCTACCATAGAAATTATTGTCTTTGGTTCCTGTAAAATGAGATACAAAAATTTAAGATCAGGATTTATATTGTTTAATTTATTAACATTATTATTATTCAGTGGTGGCCTAGAGGTTAAAAGGCCCGAGTCTCGTGAATGAGGGCGCGGGTTCGATCCTGGCAAGTACCAATGTGATTTTACCGAGTCATATGTACTTTCTAAGAGTACTAGACATCACTGACAGACGGTGAATTAAAACATCGTGAGGAAACCTGGACTTATGAATCCAATTATAAGTTTCAAATCGCTTACCCGTCCTGAGCAAGCGTGGTGATTAATGCTTAAACCTTCTCCATATGAGAAAGAGGCCTTTGCTCAGCAGTGGGCTCTGTTAGAATTATTACGACGACAATTATTATAACACTTATATGAAGACGTCTGTATAATAATCGTGGGATGTGCGTGTCATATTATTTGGCAGTATATATTTTTATATCATAAATCAATGCTGATTAATGAGGAACTTGAAATAGTAAAATCGTTTTATAGCCGACAACGGAATCAGTGTCTTTTTTAACGATATCTTGCTTCAAAGGGAATATTTTCAACGTGTTTCTTTTATATGAAATATTTTTTTATTCCATTGTTTTATACATATGTAGGTATCTTGTTTTTTTCTTTTTCTGACAAACAAATTAAATAATCTCAGATGTACAAGCAATCTATTTATTTTGTAAAAGTAATAGAAATAAGGAAAAAAAATGTTTTTTCAATTTAGTCAAATTTATCCTAGGAATATTTTGAATTATTACTGATAAAATATGTTATATGTATATATTTTGTTAAACTTATAAATATTTTTTAAACCAGAACATTAAACACAAAAAGGTTTTTCGTAGCTCCTTTACCCTGATCATCATTAAATATACATATTTTTATACAAAATTTTAGTAAATTATTTTGAGAATACAATACATAGTACTTTTAAAATATTTATTTATTGATACTTCAGAGGCAGATTCTATATTAATTGTGCCCAAAAAAGTCTTATAATTCTTTCAATTATTTCAAACATAATTTTTAATGACTTTTAAACGTTTAATGTTAAACAAATCTTGTAGATATATGTATTATTTAATAAGTCTCCCATCGCCTAACAGCTAACTGATCGCGACATACTTTGTGCGTACATGTTGTAGACGGGGTATTTATATATTTCAACTGTTTTAAGCATTACCATAAATAACTCAATCGTGACGTTTGGAGCGACTTAAATAAATATAAATCATTAATCAACTAGTAAATTTATTTCTTGATTACTTTGTTTTTAAAACTACATATAAAATTTACTATAATATTAATGTAGATTCGCTTACGAAAACTAAAAGCATTTTATAATTTTGCCTTAATTTTGTTTATTATATATTTTACTATTCCGTGAGGTAATTAATATTATAACTAAGTTACCGAACCCCTTCACAATGTATTCTCACTGCCGGCGGGTGCACACCATACCCAGTCCAAAATTAGATCTAACTAGAAATAATACGGAGCCAAAGTCAATAGTAAAGTCATAAACATGGAGACTTTTCTTTGGATTTATTCTTGGAACGCTTATTTAAGAATTTTCAGAGTGATTTATAATCGGATTATAGCAACTTCAAAAGACGTTGCAATTGTAACGTTTTGTACAATTACAATTGATGTTCAATATCGTACGATCATTGCTGGTCTTTATTAATTTTCTTGCAAATTATTGTATAAACTAAGATTAAGTATGCAATAATTTCTTTAACATAATATATGCTGGTCGTAAATCTAAATGTATGTATGTATATTGTTGTGGGGGCGTCATTGGAAATAACTTGAGGCTACCCACATCAGGTGTTCCCTCAGAGCTTAAGCGTAAGCAAACTTAAAAATAAACCGATGAATGTACGTTGACCAAGACCTTGGTACACAGACCTACGTCTAGACTGAAGGCTGCCACGATATTTGAGGAAACCCGGGAAATTACGCATTCCTTGCTATAAAAAACATGTGTTTTCTTTTTAACGTACGAAACGAAACGCTTATAATAAATAATTGTAGATTTTATTTAATATTTTTGTTTGTTATATAATTTTTGGTTAAATATAATATTGGAATAAAATAATCCAAATGAGTATGTATGTATATCTACATAAAGAGAGATTATAATGTTACATACATTTAAAGAACGTGGTCAATTGTATTGGAAAATTCGCTTAATTATAATAATACTCTTCATTGCACTACCGTAGAATAAATATAAAGACATAATGAATAAGAAAAAATATATATTTTCAATTCGTTATAACGATTTCTCTCGAAAAAATTAAATTTAAAAATATTTCGAATTGATTTGGAACTAAAATGTTACATGACGTCTTTGTTTCAATAAGAACAGAAGTAGCTATTCTCATTATATGCAGTTATTTAAACTCAAAGCGCCTACCCTATTCTTAAATCATTTAGAAATAACTAATTGCTTATAACTTTAATATTCATTTCTTTTTTTTATAAATAAGTTTGTTTAAGATTAATCTGAATATTACTAATTTATTTTGTGTCGCAATCATATTTTTTCATGACATACAAAGAAACGATGATATCAGCCTATCTTTATATACTGTTGATACGCTATTTTTGTTAAGAAGTCCAAGTGGATGTCTTCATGCACTAATTTTTTTATCAATTTTGTGATCGCCTCATATATATTTATGTAATGAATATTAATCTCCACAACCTCCACATTTCAAAACCTCATCAATAAGTACAAGTACAAATTGATCAAGCCAAGCAACTAGCTGTTTATTTATAAACACTATAATCAATCCGTCAGTCTATCGATCAGACTGTGATTTGAAGCCAAACTACATAGTAGTTGATGACATCTTAAGGCGCCATCTTAAATTTTCCAAGTCCTTTGCACCAAATCGGCCGAAGCCGACACCGAATCTCTTTAAAAGTGGAAGCTGTGAGGTAGGTAGGTAGCTGCCAGGGGTAGGGATATCAGAGGAAACACGCGATTCTCCGGTCGTTTGAAGACGCCGCCCGCGCACCTGCCCTCTCCCATCCAAATTTAAATCACAAACTCCCCCCACCGACGCCTGCGCTAAGCATTCTGGAATAACTCCTGCGATTCAGCCACCGGTGATCGCCATTCGAATTCGGGTCGCGACCGCGTTCAGTGATACAGTTCCTATTGCAAACCGACACTAGCTCCTACCATGGCCGACGTTGACGTACAAGTTCAGTACACCACCACTGAGAGAAAGACCAGGAAGGTCAAAAAGACGTCCAAGCGTAGGGAGTCTAAGGATGGGGAGGTTTCAGTCACGGAACTAGAACAAACCAACACCACCAACGACGATGGGTATGTGGAGAGGTGGCCTAGCTTTGACCCTTGTGTCTCAGTGTAATGTGACCCTCGTGTCTGTGTCAAGTGTTGAAATACAATAATATCAATAAATTTTAACTACTTTACTTAATAAAACAGCTTAGGTAATATGGCCACCCTCACATACCCGAAATAATTTAAGGTACATACACATATAGGTTTATATGTTGAAAAATGTTTTAACCATGTAAGAAAAAAAATTATGAATTACACTGTATACAAATACGGCACTAAAAATAAGACTTGAACCTTGCGTGCCCATGAACTTGAAGTTTGGTGTCGTTCTATATAAAGCTCATAGTCTATATGTCTCATAATTATATTTTTCTTGCAGCTCATTTTCAGCGGTGAATACACCAAGGCCATGAATAAGGATTGGCACAGCGGTCACTTCTGCTGCTGGAAGTGCGACGAGTCTCTGACCGGGCAACGCTATGTCTTGAGAGATGAACAGCCCTACTGCATCAAGTGCTACGAGGGCGTCTTCGCCAACGGCTGCGAGGAATGCAACAAGATCATCGGCATCGACTCCAAGGTATGCTTCAACAAAATCTGAACTATTACAACATATTTTCCATTTCTATTCATAACTCCTGCAGCCGAAATTATTGGCAAATTGCATTGTTTACAGCGGAAAGACGTATTGCATCCATCAATAATGTGCTTAACGTAAATGTAACAGAACGTTCTTGAAATAGACGTGATTAATTTTGCTCCATAGTTAATATAAATATCCATTAATATAGAAAATCACCGAAATAAATCTAGAATAAAATTGCTTTAAGTGTAGCTAAGTAACAGGTGTAGTTAACATTGTATATTGTAACCGATACTAGGAGAGTATCATTTGCGTTGCTTCTTGGTTGAGATCAAATTTAGTTTTGTCACTCCAGTCGGCCCAGATTCTTCGTTCGTACTGCACACGGCCCCAGACTAAACGTTGCCAACATCAAGTATACCTATAACTGTACGTTTATCTCACTGAGACTTTTCTGGTTAGCAGAAACGATTATATGAAAATTGTATTGAAGTACCATCTTCTACACAAACAAATAATTTGATGATAAAATACTTTTTGCATTTCTTTGGGATATATCATCAAATATTTTCACTGTATTTATTATTTATAAAATAATATTATCCGTAATTTATGATCAAAATTAGCATTATAATTGTCCGTCGTCCAGAATTTGTAAGCCGATATACGTAGGATATGCACACTGCCCATCAGCTAATTTTGAGTTGGAAACAGTCGTAACGTAATGTTTTTATTGCGTGACCTTGCCCGACCATGGATGGTTCAAACAACTAGATTCTTTTCAGCTTCAAGATTAAATTATTTCGTAATAGTATAATATTTTATTAACGTTACATTTATCTCGTTTTGAGAGCGTTCCTGTTGTGGTTTGTGGATGCCGACCGAAAATAGAATTAAATCGGGGAGGGCTTTATTTTGAAACGTTTAAACTAAACGCGTCCGTAAACAGACGTAAAGTTATCAAGTTAACGCGATCACATTGACATTAATTAAATAAACAATTCAGGTTCATTGAATATTTTGTTAACATAGGACTTGTTTTAAATATTAACATAAATCCCTCAGAAACTAAATCCTACGCGTGATAAATTGATTATATCTTTCCAAGCGAATTAATATAATATAATAAGATTTTATTGTTGTTAAATAAATGATCTCCTGTTTAATAGTCGCCTACATACAAAGGATATAATGAATAGCACATAATATGCTACCATCACTAAGCTTATGGGTTTATCTTTAGACTTATTTTTTTGCTATGGGTTTTTCCACTGTATAATATGGTCACGTTGAACATAACATATTTACTGAACTTCAAGTGGCTCATTAATCATTCAACTTGCTACGTCCAATATTTTAGACCTATGTGTAATTAGTATTGTTTATAATGTGATGTAATTTTTCTTTAACATGGAAGACCTATAATATACCTTGGTTTTACTTAAAATTTATTATTATCAATTAAAATTTCTGATTGATATAGCCAGAACGAACAAAATGTATCATCAAGCCAAAAACATACTTTCTTAATCCCTACAAATATTATAAATGCGAAATTAACTCTGTCTGTCTGTCTGTTACGCTTTCACGCCTAAACCACTGAACTGATTTCAATGAAATTTGGTACAGAAATGGAGTTGAACTTGAGAAAGAACATAGGATAGTTTTTATCTCAGACTTTTGAAAGGTTCTCTTGGAAACGCGATATAACTGAACACGCGGGCGAAGCTGCGGGCGGAAAGCTAGTAGGTCATAAAGCTTGATCTGCTAAGCCATTAAGGAGCAAAAATAATGTTCCTAAATAAGAATCATTTATCAATTGTATCTCAATATATGATTTTTCTAATCTCCCAGGATCTGTCGTACAAAGACAAGCACTGGCACGAGGCGTGTTTCCTCTGCGCCAAGTGCCGCGTCTCTCTGGTTGATAAACAATTCGGTTCCAAGTTAGACAAGATCTACTGCGGCAACTGTTATGACGCCCAGTTCGCCAGCCGCTGCGATGGATGCGGAGATGTCTTCCGAGCTGGTGAGTATATATAGCATCATAAATATCACTAAATATAATACATATAAAATTTAGTTACAGTATTCTTGTATGACGTCATATAACACGATAGTTACGATCGATAAAAATTTCAATTTATGATGACTATAAAATGAACTGTATGAACATTTACGATTAAAAATTAATATAAAAAAATGAATATTAATTATTCTTATTATTAAACAAATATAACTAATGGATATGACATCTACTTATACTATTTAAGGTGATGTATTTAATAATTTAGAGACCTTGACAATATTTACGAAGTTAAATATTTAGCGTCATCTCCTCGTATACCTATTTGTATTGGAACATAAAACAAAACGATTCTTACTTGAAATGTAAAATATATGAAGTAAAACATTCATTTATATGAAAAGAATCTTTTAAAAATTTTCCATTCATTCTAAACGATGTTTTTAAAAACGAAACAATCAGTTATATTTAAATATAAAAATTCTTTTAAATATGAAGAGAAATACATAATTATTAATTAGAAAGAGCTGAATTATGTCAGCCGCGATGTCACAGAAGTCTTTTGAAATTCTCTACAACGTGGGAATAATAACGGAGCTCTAATTAGAAGGCTTTTATAGAACCAGATACAGATTGAAGAATGTTTCTTATTTCATTCAGATCACCCTTTCAAAAGCAACAGATTTTCCGCTACAGTTAATTTCATAATACACTGATTACGTACAGTCTCAGCTGTAATTATTTCCAACAGTTTTATTTCTACCAACTGTATCATAAACGTGCGAGGTTCTTCAAAGGTTCAGTTTACATGTTATTTACGATCAAATCATCTATGTCCAAATAAGGCAGAAACATCGAATATAGACTTCAAATAGCCTGGACTTAGCGCACACGAAGCTGTCAATTGACTCATAATGATACACACGGCTCTAGCGGAACGATAACTTGTGTTATAATTACACTAGTTTACAGTATATCTGTTGCCAAAGAAATTTTAATTGTTGTTGATTAGATATGTTATGCCATTTCCAAAAATGTAATTGGAATATTTTTATCAGCTCTAGTTTTTGAGTTTCAGCTTTACAGGAATAAAACAGAAAAAATACGTAATTACTGAGAAAAACTACTAAAAGAAACATATTTAATCGTTAAGTTCTAGAAAACTACATTTTAAAGCTCTTCTCTGATGTGTAGAATTTGGAAAATGACGTATCAGAGACCAGCAATAGTCAGACATCATATTCGTATCCCATAAACTCTGATAGCGCTCTTCCGTGATGCTTAAGTCTTGATGCATACGCTCCCCCTGCTCCTCACTCATAGCTGTCAATGAATAAACGCCAGTCGTTTGGTTAGTATTGTTTCAAGCAGATTTTTATCAATAAGTTTTTAATGTCTGAACAAAAGGTAAAATTCGTTTTCTTCGGAAAAATAACATCGTAATTGTTTCTCTTGTACGATAAAAACTTATTTTAGTGTCCGAGGAAAGCAATTTTTTTTTCTTTGAGCCTTGATGTTAGCAATTATGAAGCTTGTTTTGAAAGATATAAATCTCTAACAAGATCATCTAACTCATTTTTAGTAAAGCATTTTGACTCTTTGGATATACCTTCAAATTCGCATCATTTTGTGATGTTCTTGGTCTTTTCATGTCTTGTTCTATGGGTTCAGATACTTTTGTAGGCACTGAACAGATAGATAAACGCTTCTGCACTGGACGTTGAACACAACTAGTACTGGGGTACAGCCATTTAGCCCGATTTTTAGTGTTTAAACCATTTAAGTCGACTCTACAAAAATAAGAGTCTTCGAGATGATTTTGTGGTTCTCGCCAAATAGTCGGTGTTCCAAATTTAAAGATAGTTCTTTTACCATTTTTCAATAATCTTAAATATACCACACACCTTTTACAAACACAATTTGACGCCTAAGACTTGTCATTTTCATCCAGGAGCATCCCAAAATACTCAAAATAGGTATTTTTCACCAACGGTGATATGACTTTTCTACAGTATTTAAAGACATATGGTCAGCAAATGTATCAAAAATGATCTGGATTGTTCAAACAACATCTCCTTGAACTGCTCATGACAAAAAACTTTTGATATTTTGTCTTAAAGCACTAAAATACGACTGTTATGAATTAATTTATAAGCTTAAATGACAAAAACCAGAAACAAAATAACTAGAGCTGCTCAAGAAATTTTGAAGGTATTTTTGACATAAAGAAATCATCAGTGAACAATATCAACCATTAAATTTGCGGCAACAAACAAAAAGTTAAATTTTGTAAACTAGTGTTATTGTTAACTGACTTTAAATAAGGATATGCTTTATTTGATTGTGTGTATCGGTTTATGGCATCATAATTCTTATACGGATGGACCAATTTTGATACGTTTTTTTTATTTTACAAGTCAGTTTTCTTATGATAGATCTACATTATTATTTGTTTATTTTGATCCAGCAATGTAAGAGTATCCCATTTCCAAAATGATGATACAGTACAATTATAAAAAAAAAAATAGAATAAATTCTAGTTATTTCATGTATGACAAATATTTGTAATTATTTTTAATAAGATAAGGGCTGAAAATCTTGACAAAATATTTATTATTATCAGTTGTATATCTCAAATATTAACATACAAAAAATAAATTAGTGTCCAATAATAATTATTTGGGTTTAATGAATGGGACTTTTTTCAATATTAATATTATTTTATTGTATTAATTTTTATGTAATAGTCAGTTATATATGTTGGTGTATCGATCCGTCCGTGTGTCAGTCTATTCAATCATCTGTCCGTACATAGTTGGTTCTGTACCCTTGCTTGATAAGGTGCTTTAAGGTGATTTTATAAAAAAACCGGCCATTGTCAATGCCGCAGCCTCAGTGTCTGCGCTTTTGACTTTTAAATCGAAAGTTCTTTATGTTTTTGGTATTTCCGTTTTATCTTTTTAACGATTACCTTTTATATTGATAGCTATTTATTATGAAAGAAAAGAATTCCATTAAAATAACTGTGCTTACTTATTTGAGTATAGTATTTTTTGGTAATGTTTTATAATGGCTATTAGTGAGCAAGCTGCATTGAAGTGAATTAAGACCACAATTCGTTATAAATTCACTGGCGAACTTCGCTTTTGATGTGAATGGAGGAATAAATTGATTGACTTGTACATACAAATTTATGTAAATAAATGGGTACACTGTAGAGCTTTAAAGTACAGACAAGTTTCTGTAAAAAATATTTATAATAAAAATAAGAATACACTCAACAAAGTTTCTGTCAATTTTTGACCTCGTTTATAAAGAATAGCTTACAACTTGTTAACGGAAAAAATAATTAAAGATTAACAAATAACTTTTTCGTATCCAACCTCCTTATAACATTGTATTTTAACAGTAACTAATTTCAAATCCAGTGATTTCAGTAGTATTGGATTCTTAAATAAATTCCCTGGTACTCGTAATGGTTCAGGGATTTTAAATTCAAAGAAAAACTCTTTTTATTCAGTTGTTCGTGTTTCATGACCATAAAAGTTTTTTCTCAAAATCGATACAGATCTTAAAAATATATATTCGTTAAATTGTAAGCAATACAAGCAAATTACAGAATACGAACTCCTTAAATCTAGGACAAAACTTACATTACTTTGACTGAGCCTAATTTACTATGATTGATGTAAAAGTTAGTTTGTAATCACTATTTAATTTAATACCATAACTAAATAGATATGTAGGTCTAACTAGATTAATCAATCTAGATAACTAGATCCGTATATCTACGAAACTATCTATTGAGAGACCTAGGACCTTTCATAGTAAACACTATTTTGAATTATTACCAAAAATTTGCTGTAGAATAAAATTCAACAAATATTGAACAGATTAACCATTTTCTTGGCTATATATAACAAAAAAATATTCATTAGGATATTTATTAATATAGTATAATGTTTGAATATTATTTTTTATTTAATTGTACGTAAAATTACATTCAAATCTTCATTGAAACTAACTTCTGAGTGATGAAATAAACGTGACGAAGTACATAGAGATGTTAGACCTGTCTCGTTACGATAAGGCACGTCGGTCAAACCAGACAAAAGATATACGACATTACGAAAAAATATTATACATATAGAATTAAATAATATTACTAATAGAAGAATACAATATATGAATTTGGAAGATTTAACAAATATCAAATAGTAATATAATATTTTAATTATATAACTCTCGCTTTATATATATGTATATATTTTGTATTTAAATTATCTACCTTCAAAGTTTGAAGATTTCCTTTAAAGGTTTTTCCATCTAAATATTTGTTATCTTAAAGAAAATGTGAAGCAGTATTAAATTAGAAAGCCTGCTAACAAAATGGTTCTAAACAATTTAGTATTTCTACTCTAAACTGGCTTCAAATGAAAGCGTTAAACTAAACCTAAGTCTTAGGTTCCGAGCAGAGATAAAACAACTCACAAACAAGTTTTACAAGCTTTTACATATAAATATATACACATATAACATTAAATGTAAATTATAATAAATTTATTTTTTTCTACTACAGACCTAGTGAATGAACTGAGTCATTAAGCGTAGGCGCGAAATATCTAACGTACACATAAATTTAGAATTCTCTTAACGTATGTAACCTCAATAAATTACTGAGAAAACATCTCAATGGAATAGAGAAATAAAAACGAAACGATCTTTTATATTTTTTGTAAAAAAAACGTTAAAACTCTTCATACTAAACGGATTGAGGCATTCATTCATGAAATTGGGACTCGAAAAACTTTTAGCGAAAAATTTGTATGAATACAAACTATTAAATTTCAAAAACATACATAAAAAGATTTTTTTCATATAATTTAAATACGAAATTCACTTAAACAGAAGTATACGTATATAAAAATTTTACATAATACATCAGTAAATGCATTTAACACTATTGTGTGCCATAAATGTATTTAATAAAACAGAAATAGCGA